TCTCTCTCTCTCTCTCTCTCTTTTGTTTTTCCTTTCTATTTTTTTTCAGGTAAAGGTTTTTTCACACTCTTTTTCCCTATTTTCTAAATTGCACTCTCAATAGGGTTGTTTTAAGTTGTACAAATCCCAAAGAGATATTTGTAGTTTTGATGATAAAGGGAATGTTAACCTTAAGGTAGATTTCGTAATTATTCCTGGTAAGATCAAATATATACAAAATGAGGCGAACAGATAAAGAGCCACTGCATCAAGTACTTCTACAACTATAAGCCACATCTTGTTCATCATTAGCTTCTTGATTAAAAAAAAAAGTCTCTTATTCTCTTATCATCTATTCCTTTCAGGAGACCAGATATCACCGAAGGCTTGAAGAACCTGAAGTGCCGAACTTTGATATTCGTTGGGGAACACTCTCCTTTCCATTATGAGGCCCTCCACATGACATCAAAGCTAGATAGGAGATTAAGCGCCTTGGTAGAGGTACATGAAATTGTTCCTAAGTAGTTATACTGGCATATGCATTTAGCCCAAGGTCAAAAAAAAAAAACTATTTCAAGATTTTGCATAGTTAAAATAACTTTAAATTCCGCAATATAGCACTATCTTTATTACAACGTCCATTTATTTCTAATATAGCTAGATTGGGCTAAACCTTTGAATTAATTTCTAATTAGTTGCACAGCAAAATTAATACTATCTCCGCGCACGAGCAGGTTCAAGCATGCATTTATCCTAAGGACAAAAAATTAACAACAGTAAAAGATTTTGCTTAATTCAAAAATGTTCATAAACTTTCAATTTCCTCAATATAACAGTCTTTATAATATTGTCTAATTATTTCTAATATAGCTTAGATTGAGCTAATCCTGTGAATTAGTTTCTAATTATTTTCATAGCAAAAATTAATACTGCAGGTTCAAAGATGCGGATCGTTGGTTACGGAAGAACAACCGGACGCGATGTTGATACCATTGGAATATTTTCTCATGGGTTTCGGCTTCTACAGGCCGTCAAAATCCAGTGTCAGCCCGAGAAGCCCGTTGAGCCCGACTAGCATCTCACCCGAGCTTTTCTCACCGGAAAGCATGGGGCTGAAGTTAAAGCCAATCAAAACCAGGATCCAGGAAGAAGTGTGAGATCTTGAGAAAAAAGAAATCAAAAGGCAAGCTTATCTTTGTATTATATGAAACTAAGGAAGTTTATTTAGTATTTACACGTGATTGGTTCGATTTGTTGGGAGAAATTTCATGTAATTAATTACTATAGGAAAGAGATAAATTTAGTTTGAAAGGAGCAGAGAGAGGTGTTATTATAGATAGGGAAAAGCTACACGGGGTAATATGAAAGTTTGTGGAGAATTAGGGATAAATCTCTGTATATCCTTGGAATAACTTTTATTTATGATAATGAAATAGTGATAGCCAGAAAAATAATAAATGGCTGGCGAAGAAATTTATTTTTTTAGCTTTTGTTACATTATTTTATTTTATTTTATTTTTTTTTCATTTTTTGGTGATTATTTTCTGAAGATGAGTATCATGTTTAACAGAAAACGCTTGTTTGGTACCTAAACTTTTTGTATGTACCTTCACTTCAAATTTAAATATCGTACTATTAGATTATCTCATACAAGAATTTATAATAAACACTCGGGCATCAAATGTAATCTTAAACCCTAGACATTATAACATAATCTTAATTATCAAATTAAAAATATTGAATAACAAGAAAATTCATATAAAATATCTGATGGAGACGAGACCGCAATAATCTATTTGAATAAATACGATAAACTTCGGGTATAAGTCGTTTATTATTAATATGTTTATTATGTTATTTCCTTTTTTTATTTAAGTAATTAAATAAATATCTTCCAATCTGTTAGGCAAGATATTAGAATATGACTCTTTCCTTTTATTTATTTGCTAGGCAACAAACCAAGCAAGATTATTGTGAGTTTTTATTGATTTGAGTAGATTCATCAAGAGAGTATCTCGTTCTTTTTCTTTCGTACCACACGTTCTACATCAATATCTCAACTCTCAATGGAGCAAAGGCAAATAAACTATATATCCCCTCAATTTAAATTTCATCATTTATATAACTAAGATATTTTGGCAGATTCATCCACATATCCGTAGTACCTTAGAGCTGAGGAAATAATAAATATACACTTTGTAAGCATATCCTCCATACTATATACTATCCTCTGCAAGTAGGATACAAAACAAAAGGGCAACTAAGATTCTATAATATAATAACCTCGACACACTTAATCCAAACTCAATCCTTAGCAGCAAATCTTCTACCCTCAAAAGACATGACATTTCTATGGTTATTCCCCTCAGCTTCTTCATTTCTCCGAGCTTTTCTTCTGTTCATCTCTGCATACATTTCCTCTATCATCGGTTTCCATAGACGAACACGAGCATTTATAAACCAGTTCGAAACCTAGCAACAAAACAACATAAGAATAATCAGCTTCATCTAAGTTAACAATGCCTGAAAAATAAAATATATATAACTATTCCGTAAGTATGTACCTGATTTCTCGTGAGACCGCTTTTCAAAGCAAGCAAGTGCTTCTCCGCATCTTTCGGGTACCTGTAAATTTTTATATGTTTTTTTTCTTAAACATTTTCTAGCAAAGAACCCATCGACAAAATCCTCTTAACAATTTTATACTCAAGAAAGCGAAAATGGGAAGCGTACGGGTGGAGGAAGTTTTGAAACATCCAAGCCCTCAAAACCGAGACGGATTTTTCGGGCAGTCCTCTTTGAGGCCTCCACAGCTGTTGCTCCCGCTTGCTCAGCTGCTGCAAGGCCCACTGCTTTTGGATGAAGCTCGTCTCGAACGAGCTGTCCTCCTCTCTTGTTTCCCCCCAATCGTGATGGCTCGACTGTCCTAGAGAGAGAATGTGGGAGCTAATTCTCTCTCTAAGATTTCTGTACATGAAGGATACTCCCGGGAGAACGAAACGTGCATGCAGGTTCGGGTCCAGCTCGGTTACTGCATGAAAGGCAGAAGTCACCGTGTGGATTTCATCCATGCATTGGCTGTACCTATCATCCACCTTCACAAAAAAATATGGTAAATTACAAAAACTACACTGGATTTTTGCTTAATTAGTACTATAACTGCAGTTATCTTTCAGGAATACAAACAATCCACTCTATAGGACTTTAAACAAGTAAACAAGCCAAAATTAAAATTTTGCCTTATAACAATAAATGCAAATATATATACCAACTGTAATAAGGACAGCAAGTGCTTTTTCCGGGTCACGATCTCGCGTTCATGTGAATGGTTATTCTGGGGTGAGAACATACACGGGTCCGGGTCAGAAAAATCTGACCCGGAATAGTAACTCCTGCTATCAACATTCTCGAGCGCGTAACGGGCAATCTCAGCAAGTATTTCCTGCACGGCGTGAACAAATCTGAAGCTGGGGCCCGCCGCCACTTGGACCTGATCACGAGAGTCGAAGCTTAAAGACACGTTTTTGCTGCTGCACGACCCGTTAGAGCTCAGGTCAGAGCTCCCATGAAGAATAACGGGAGGAGGCGCTGCTGACGTGGCAAGACTAAGAGAGAGCTCTTTTCTAGGGACAAGCTTATTCAAATTCCACGGTTCTTCTATACTCTCGTAACCGTAACTCATGTGCTCGTAATATGGATTCACGATGCTCGAAGAGACAGTTTTCGCGTACTCAAAGGGGTCGTTTGGAGTGATGAGATTTTCTTGATTCGTGAAAAACCGGGTGGCTGTTTCTTGAAAATCGAAGGGTTGGGGAGGATAAAATGCTGCTTCGGTTGGGAAATTGCGAACGTATTTTCCTCGTTGGGCGGTGTAAAACTCGTTGAGTGTGGCTATCGTGACTTGATTATTTTCCATCTCGGTAGAATTAAAGCCGATCATGGGTTCTCCATGAGTTATCGGGAGGGCAAAACCGAGAGGTTGTCGATCGAACGAATTGGAATCAGTAAGAGGAGTAATTAAGGCTGTGGAGAATGAGTTTGCTTGTGAGATGATAGAATGTGAACCATTTCCATTTGTGTCTCTTTGCATGTTGATAAAGATTGAATCTTTAACTTTGTCCACCAAAACAGAGAAAGGATTGAAATAACTGGGAACAGTTCACTATTATCTCCTGGAAAAACACAAGAAAATAAATAAGAGCTCTAATTCAATGAAAACAATTTTTTTTATTTATGCTAATGGAAGAAAATTATATCTCAGCACAATCAGGTGAAAAGATTGAACACAGGACACAAGAATATGACTAAATATAGTAATTATGTTGAGATGAGTGACCCCAGTTGCAAAAAAAGGAAGGAATATTATAATATACAAATTACCTAAACATGAACTTCAAACATTTGACAAACCTTGTAACACTTGGGAGAGTGCAAGTAGTGCAAGAACAGATATAAATGTGGTTGCTTTGCTTCAAATATGTAGAAGAACTTCTTCAAGGCCTTTGCTGGAACAATGTAAGAGCTCATGAACATATACTGCAGGTGAAAAAAATATGATTAAAAAATACTTTCTTTTTTATTATGGCCTTTTGACTACAAAATGATGCTTGCCAAACAAAGCATAAAGGCAGAGGCTTTGAATTTATATGATAAGAAACCATATGTAGGAAATCATTGGTTACCCATTCTTCTCCAAACAGTGTACAATCAAAAGGGCCCCTGTTTTTTTTTTTTTTTTTTT